TGCCAATGGTGTTTCTGGCTGAAAGTATGCTGAAGTTACTAAGTGCCAAAAAATGTATAGGTCTAGAGGTGTGGGTCTTAATAGACCTATAGTGTCTTCCAGAGGGCATCAGAGTAAACAGGTGATTGCCTGGGTAAGATGAGTCCTGGATTATGTTCATGGCTCAGTGAAAGAGGGTAGCTGTGTGTTTATAATATTTTGTGCTGATTTAATAACAATCTGCAGTTCTTATTTGTCAGCCACTGTACAGCTTGTAAACCACACCATAATGTCATGGAAGAGGATACTTTCAACAGAACATCTGTAAAAGGATAGCAATGGCTACTGAGATGGGTTCAATTTCCTCTGCTGTGCCTTTTTCACAAGAGAGGTTGTGTTAACATTCCATGTGAGATCCTGGGAGATATACATCCCTACGAATTCAAAGTTACGGACCCTCTGCACCATACACCCTGTTGATGAATAAGGGAGCAAGTTCTTCCTGAAGTCAATTATCAGTTGTTTTGTTTTGGAGGAGATGAGTGCCAAGTTATTCTCGTAGCACCATACATTTAGTTTATGGACTTCATCCCTGTAGGCAGACTCCCTGTTTTTTTTTTTTCAGTCCTACCACAGTTGTGTCGTCTACAAACGTAATGATTGTATTTGTGTTATGGTTTGATGTGCAGTCATAGGTGTGCAGAGTGTAGAGTAGAGGGCTCAGCAGGCGACTCTGCAAGGCTCCAGTGTTAAATGACAGGATCAAGGAGTAAGACCCAGGCCTGACCGACTGTAGACGGTCTGTCAAAAAGTCCTTAATCAAGCTGCACATGTACAACCTCACCCCGAGATCGTATCATTTTGATACCATTCTGCTAGGGATGATGGTACTAAATGTAGAACTAAAATCCACAAACAACATCCTCACACATGAGCCAGGATGTTCCAGGTGAGTAAGCACTGTGTGGAGAGCAGTACTGATAGCATCTCCTGTCGACCTGTTAGTCATATAAGCAAACTGAAAATGGTCCAAAGTAGGAGGAAGGGAAGATTTTATGGGTTTTAGGACCAGCCTCTCAAAACACTTCACTACAGTAGAAGTAAGAGACACAGTTTCACAGTACACTGTAATCATTTAGGCTGCTGATAGAAGTTTTCTTGGGTGCAGTTACAATGGTGGCAGATTTAAAATATTTGAGGACAGCGCATGTTGCCAAAAATAGGTTAAAGATGTTACTAAATACCCCGGCCAACTGGTCTGGCAGCGCTTTATAATTCCTTGTTTCCAGACCTAAAGGCAGTATCCCAGTCTCTCAGCAGTTGCTTAATGTCCCTGATCATCATCATAGTTTGTTACTGCGATAACATCTGATCTGTTTGTCAACAGTGACATTATCAGTACAGTACTGGATGTAAAACAGAACAGTGGATGCACAGTCTGCACCATCCTGTTGTGCAAATAAATCCCAGTGAGTGTGCTCAAAACAGTCCTGGAACTGAATAGTTGCATCCTTAGGCCAAATCTTTAAGCCAAGGCGAGAAAGAGTGACAGGTGGTCAGACTGGCCTAAGTGATGATGGGTGGAGACTTTATATCCTTCCATAAAATTACTGTATACATGATCTATTGCGTTTTGGCCATGTTAATCAGCCTGCAAGCTGTAGCCACCCATTTAGCTGTTGCTGTTGAAAGTTTGTTGCTTGTGGTTTGCCTTTGTTGACGGGGAGGAGGGCTCTCTGCATCAGCTGTGTGCAAATAACTTTGGTCTTGTTGAGAGAAACATCTGGCAGGGCTTTGAAGCTGAAATTGCCATTCAAAAGACCCTTTTCTTTATCAATTTCTGCTACCGCATCACTTCCTGATTTCCCAAACTATGGGGCGGGTCAAGGGTCATGATCACAGAATGTGGGCGCATTAATCCCACACCAAATAAATTTGTGGCATTAAAAGGAATTTGCATTAACTCAGAGCATTAACTTACAGCCCTATTTTTTTATTTTTATTTCATTTTTATAATTTCTTTATTTATACTTGCATTTTCCATGATTTGTTAGTCCTTGTTCTTTTCTCAAATGGATGACTCTGTGTAAACAGGGTTGTACCAATAATCATTGTCACTTTAACCCACTCTGTTTTGTATTGATTGAGGAAAACATCACACAAAAAAATCACTGGAAGTTTAAACTTTACTGATTTTCATGTGGATCCCTTCACAGGACGCCACCATTGGTGAAATCCGACAAGCATTTCCAATCCCAATGGGTCCTCCAGGAGCTACTGTGAGTGTGATGTTTGCACACAGTAGGATTCTGTATATTTTAGTTCATGAATAATGGCACACATTTCTGCTGTTGCACGCGATGATTCATGTTTTGCCTGCATGGCATCTGAGTCATCATTCATTGAGGACTGTAATGCTTTTATTGTGCTTTGCAGTGTGTTGTGCCATTATCTGCCAAGAGATATGGCAGGATTAATGTCATGCATTGTAGATGCATGTTCCAATGACTTGCTCCTCTGTTTCTGTGTTTTCAGGGTTCACCAGGAATAAAGGTAAGATGATAAAGAGGTTTATACTAAAGCTGAGTTAATAAAACAAAACACTAATATAACCATTGTAGCTCATTTGCCTTTTTTCCAGGGTGATAAAGGAGAAAGAGGCCTTAAAGGAGAGAAGGTGCAGCTGATCAGTGCTATCCCTCAAACAATACACATACACATATATATGGAAATGGCATTATATTCATGGTATTTATTTTCATGTTTTCAAAGGGTGATGCTGGATCTCATGGAAAATCAGTTGAGATGAAGGTGAATACACGATGTAGTAATTCCTCCACTGGGATAAACAGTCTGTTCTTATTTTGCATTTTTAAGACTTGGAGCATATTTTCCATCTTCCACAGGATATTGAAGTAATGTTTGAAGCCTATGGCATAAGGGTGAGCTCTGAGCTTGACATTATATACTGTACATTTTGAGGATGACAGAATTTATAATAGTATTGTAGTTTGACCTTCTAAATAAAAACATTTTTCTCAGCTGCCTTTGCTGAAGGTTTTGATTGACAGGCTACTGCAAGATGGAATAGAGGAGCTGCTTAGTGTGCTCAGCACTGCCAAGAAAACAAAGGAGAACACAGATACTCACACTTCCAACATCATCACTGATTTCACAGTACGTCAATTCTAAAAAAAAAAGTGCTTCTGTGAGAGTTTACTTATAATAAGTGGTAGAAGGTTAAACAGTATACAGGGTAAAACAAGAATTGACCTGCTTTTTTTTTTTTTACTGTTTCAGAAGGCTTAGCTGCAGTCGGTATATTGTATCCATGCTTTAGAAACCTAGGTTGTCCAATTTAAAAGTGGTTGTGTCATCTTAACAGAGTTCAGTGACATTTTACCTCACCAGCCAGCCACTGTCTGAGCTGGATCCCACTGAAGAGCCTGATTTAGATGACCAGTTTCCAGAGACTTTATCTGTTGTAAGTAATCTCAACATCTCCATGTTGAGAATCAAACAAGGGAAAAATCTGCCTGTGAACTGAGATTACTAAACCTGTTAAGATAAATGTGTTCATTTGATGCTAGTTCGGCAATCTGCCCAATCCAGTCTTGATTTAAAATTTTGACACTGACAGAGCATTTATGAAACCAAGAAATCTGCCTGAGGATTTATTATAGTATGTTAGGATGTTCTCACCCCTCTTCTCAAATATTTTTTAAAAAATCCTGGATCCTGAATATGGGTGTATATTTCTCATAAAAATTTAAAACCATCAAAGGGAGCAGGGCCATTTGTGTTTAATTAATATTAAACTACTGTAACACTTGTAGTATGGAGAACAATTTTATTGTGAGACTAACACATTTTGCCTTGTGGCCTTCAAAGTACTTTTAAATACAATGAGTATGAAAGAAAGCTTTTACCTTTAGAAATATAACTGACCTGAAACCATGAACCCCTCTATGTGCAAATACCTGCTGACTAATGTGTTTGTGTATTTTGATGTGAAGGAGCCTTTGAATGAGCCTGCAGAGGGTCCTACTGTATGGACAGCCACCACACTGAGTGGAGAGCAGGGGCTTGACATGACCGAGAGCAAATTAAAGGGCTCCAGAAGGATGGAGACTGGGGACAGTGATGAAGTGTCTTCACTCAAAATTAACCTGACTGTAGTCAATTCTACTTTCAATGACACTATGACCCAAGAGGTAAGAAAACATTACAATAGCAAGCCAACCTTAAATGTGCAATTTTTGCTTGAAATTCTTTGCTCAAATGTGATTTAGTAGCTTGGTTTCAAATATTTTTCTCTTTTTTTCTTTAATTTGTCCTTTAACTCTTTACCTCTGACATGTGCTATAGATTTACAAGATTGTAAAGCTTATAATTAAAACCAAAATCAGCCAAAGAGCTGCAAAACCTGAAAATCTTTGCTGAAGGGCAAAGACTGAAACCTCAAACTGGCTCTAATATACTTGAAGGGAAAAAAGGTTTTAAAAACCTCTGTGTGGTGTATTGTTAATATTAAATTAAGGATACAGGAAACATTCAAAATAGTGGTTTGGACAAAATGCAGTGTTGTCTATTATTTATCTGTTGTTTAATTTTTTAAAAGCAAATCTCAGTAAGCTTATTAAACTGTGTGGGTCAGACGGTTTCAGGGATAACAGGGGCCGAGGCGGAGCCTACTCTCCTGACTCAGGAAGATTTTCTGAAGAAGACTTCAGGACAAAAGAAGAAGAACAAGGAACGTGGGAAGGTAAAGCCGCCATTGCTACAGTATCTATAATGACTGTGTTTCCCCTGACAAACATGTATTAGATGTAACATGAATCATAAAATACTTGTAGGGTTGTTTTAATAATATAAGTCATATACATTTCTTGATTGCCTTTAATAACTTTAATGTTTGTTATTAAAGGACCATACTAGTATTTCATGTTTTAGCTCATCCTTCCTACCTTCCACAGGTTTCTTGATTTCATTTCCTGCCACTACAGAATGAAAATCAGCTTTCAGAAACTTGAAACTAGCTTGACATATATACAATAAGAGTGAACGTTTTGTGGCCTTTGTTTTTTTTTAACAAAGTTAAATTGCATGGTGATGATAGCAGAGACTTTTTTTGTAAACGTCTGTAGGTGTTTTCTCATCCAGGAACTGGAGCATTTATGAGTTATGTTGTCAGAGAATCTAATCTAGATGGCAAACATAAAACAAACAGTAACACTGTAGTGAGGATAATGGAAATGTAATGGTTTTTGCAATAAAAATGTTGCTGTAACCAGGAAACTCGCAAGTATTTTTAGAGCATTCATGAATGTGTTCTGTGGAGTTTTGGGAAGAAAAATCAAAAGGAAACAAAATGTTCACTCTAAAAACATAATGTATCAAAAACAAATCTGAGTCTTATGTCTAACCTGTCCTTTAAAAATCGATGTATTTGGCCTTTAAATTTTAGACTGCAGTGTAATCACAACACAACAATACATACATACAAAACACAAAAAACTGATAAATACTACCATGAGTAGTGGCTGTTTGTATAACATCTAGGAAAGACAAAGCAATTTTATTCATATAGCACTTTTTTACATGTAGACTGTGCTTTGCATTAAAGTCCATTTAGCAGTAAGTGACAAGTCATGAAATTCCTCTAGAAATGGTCAGAAGTGATGTAAAGTGTATGCAATTTGAAACTAATGGGCTGTAGAACCTCCAGTGTGGTCCTATAAATACAAATAGGTCTAAACATTTGGAAGGTTTAATACTAAGGTCTTCTAAGCATCTTTATGCAGAGGTGTTGCATTCATTTTTGATATTCATTAACTTTTTATTTCCCTCTTAAATGTATCTCCATAAACTTACAGTATCAACTCACAGGTTAATACTTTGATCATCAGCAACCTTTGACGCATGAGAAACCTTTATTTTTTTCTCTCTGACTGTGAACCTCTTAACCAGGGCAAAGGCACTAAAGGACGGCATAAGAGGCAGAGACAGCGCCTGGTAAATGTCTTTGAAGGGGTTAAACTAAACCTGGAAACTAAACTTCCTTTTTGCCCCAACTAAACAAAAACCACACTGACTAACACAGTCACCTAAAAAGACTCTAACACGGGCTATTGCTAAAATGATATTAACATAATTTGTGTAGAAATAACAGCTTTAGTACTAACCTGTGTTGTAAAAGTAACCACATCTAAATAACATTTAAAAAAATACAATGCAGAATTAACAAGTTACTGTATACATGGTGTGGCAAGTGACACTAAAAGCATGCATTTGTCTTAAGCGTCTATGTGCTTCTCATTGTAAAGATAACAGTTCTGATACACTTGATAAAAGGCTGCTTTGTGATTGCTTGGCCTTGTTGTCTTCTACTTTTTCACACAAATGACAAATGATCATTTGTAACAATATCTTCCTGTAATTTGTCTTTTCTTTTTTATCTAAAGACAAGTGAACAGAACAAGCAAGAAGAAGAAGAGGAAGAAGAGTTTTATTATGGTGAAGAATACACTTATGAATATGAGGTATGCAGCTACTGCAGTGAATGACTAATTCATGCATTGTGGGAATCATCAGATTACAGTGATGATTGGTGACGTGGGGTTGTTAAAAATTTGGAGCGGTATCATCATGGATGCCTCCTTGTTAACAGCCCTGTCAAACTTATAATCAAATCACCCTTTTTTTTTAAATAGCAGTGTCTCTGGGGACTGAAATATATCTATGCCCACACTAACCACTGGAGAGAGAGTTGATTAATGACACACCCACTACCTGCATTAAATATTAAGAATAAATGGTTTCTTATTACAGCCCAGTGCATCTGCTCTGTACATCATTCACAGAAATGAGCCTGTGGGTTGTTTCAAAAGTAATGATAATTATTTTTTTCAAAACAGGACGAACTTTTCCCTGGTGGCCCCTCAGCCTCTCCAGAGAGACAGGTAAATCTGCTTCATACAGAAATCTCTGTGTTACTCTTCATTTTGTAATGTGAAATGTTTGTCTGGTATGCAGCTTGGAGTCCAAACAGATGAAATCTCCCATCCAATGGATAAAAAGTTGAGCACTAATAATTCTGCAGCCCACACAAAAAGTCATTCACTGTTGCACATCTGTACCCTGATAGACAGCTGAGTCCAGTTATGCAGTGCTCTGCTGTACCTGAAGAATAATGTATTTATACTATGTTTGTTTGTGTAGGAGGAACAATTAACCACACAAAGTCCTGTCCAAGTAGAAACATCTGCAGAAACCTCCAGTCATCCTCCAGCCTCCCTGTCAGACAGAGAAATAGATTCACAGGTGAAACTCCACTTACTGACATTTTCTAAAGTGTATTTTGGACTTTCTGAGAAAATATATATAATAATACAACCAAGATAAACAAAACATTACAACCCTGGCATCAGTACTCCCACCAAGTCAGACAAGGAAAAGAAAAGAAAGACATGCTGACGTTTCTATACAAGCTGTAGTGGAAATGTACAGGCCAAAATTATTTGTGCACTGGCACAGTCTGGGGGTGTTCACTAAATATGATTTACAGAAGGTAACTTCAGATTCAAAGGTAATGTCAGTTACTGTATGGGTCAACTGAGGACTATTTAATATCCTCTAAGTAAAGAAAAGGAATATTATCACTACAGCTTGTCATGACTCACAGGGTTTTTCATATATTTTTAGGAGCTCTTTCAACCATATCAGTCTAAACTTTGAAATTGATAACATTTCTAAATGCAAAAGCTTTTCAAAGCATTTTAAAGGCAGCCAGTCTGCCATTATTCCTGCATAGATGGATGAGTTGAATTCAGACATACATGTGCATATTGTTTAATGTCAGAGCAACCCTCCCTTTTTGATTGTTCTTCTCCTAGGTTGTCCTGACAACCACAGAGCCTCTATCCCAATCCATGGAGGATACAGAAGAGGTAAGGGGGGAGCTGACTTTGTCTGCTTTTATTGGAAAAGTCTGTTTTCAGCTCAGTACTGTGCATCTCCTTTGAAGTGCTGTTTTCACTGTCACTTTCTTATTCGTCCTTTGTTGTTAGGACCAGGATGAAATGTCACTGCGTGCACCTCCCGTCACAGCAAAAGAACCAGACCAGGTAAAGTTTTGATTTTTAATCATATAGGCTTAAATTTTAACTAAATGTTTCTCAAAGTCCGTGCATGCAGTGGAATGCAAAGCTTTTTTTTTCACTTATACTTAACAGCATGGCATTAAAGTGCTGGACAAGAGCTTGAACAAAATGAAGGATGTGCTTAGCTTTATCTCTATCATAACCTAGAGCAATCCATACGGTAAATAAGCCATGCTTTAAGTGATATAGAATAAGCACTTGGCATCATATTTCAGGACCCTTCTTTCTTCCTACTTCCTATGAAAAATTTCACCAGTGCAAACAGGTGCATATGTTCATGTAAGCCTAATGTGAAAATAATGGGAATGAAAGCATATCAACACAGTTTTTACATTTTTTTCTAAATATACTTGTACACTATCCAAGCATGAGACAGGACAACATTTTTGAGCAGCATGCTTTGAGCATGATTTCTCTAAAGCTTGCCTGAATGGGAATGAGAAAACACACTAGATTCTTCTAGAGAGAATTACTGACCCAACAGACTCCAGAGAGTTACTTTTAATTTTTTTTCTCTCTCGTTTGTTTTAAACAGGACATCTCTTAATTCCCAAGAGACTGTGACTATAGAGTGTTATGCATTCATAAGAAAGTACACACTACATGGAGTGTGAATAAACTGTGAAACAGTTTTGCTGATGAGGAACCCTGAACCTGACCAACGTTCATTTCATGAGCAGGGGGACGTTTTCTCTCTGCGACGATGTGACTCACCAAAGCCATTGTCATAGCATGGAGCTTCATAGAAAAGTAGACACCATTGTTAAGATCTTAAAACTGTGCCCTTATTTTGACAGTATTGTGATTCTTTAATTTTTTTTCAGAGTAAACACCACTTTAGTCTTTACTTCACTTACCTTGTGTAACTCCTAATTTATTTATTAAGACAAATATTTCTGTGGAACAAATACAACCACAAACCTTCTCAGACATGTGCCAACAATTCCAATACCTATTTTCTTTTTTTCCAGACTGTACTAAAATTTTATTTATTGAAACATAGAAAAATGTTGTTTTATACTTTTCTCCTCTCTGAATACCAATGTTATTGTTCAAAATGTAGTACTATACACAATTTTGTACCCAGATTAAACACTGTTGTCACTGGTGAAAATTTTCTCTGTTATTACATTGTTTTGTCTTTGTTTAACCTCTCAATGCATGTATCCTTCAGTTAAAAAAAAAAAAAAAAGTTAAAATAACCTACTAAGCAATTCTGTGTCTTTTTTTCCCTCACAATTTTGACATCATACACATTATGTCACACATATTATTGAATGGAAAGCATCATAATCTAGCCCTAAATTTGTTAATGAAAAGTATCGGGTACTTGACAGGTGCCTCGATCTCAAATGAGGGTTAAAAGAGGTGCCCCATGGCATGATTCTAGGGTAAGTGTCCCCCGGTTTTTGTTTTTTTTTGGAAAGATGAATTGATAGTATAAATTGCAGTAGTAATCATATTTATATTTATAGGTGTTCATGCCAGGTGCCCTGGGTGGAAGAAATCACTTCAAGAAAAAAGAAAAAGTAATTTCTTCTAATAGATGTATTCATATACTACATAAAAATTCAAATATGAACATTATGTTTTATGGTCAGCACATATAAGATTTAGCTCTTCATTTGATTTTCAGTATCTGCCCTCTGGAGCTCAAGGCTACAGCAGCTGGATTGTAAGTTTACCATCAGTGGTACTGATGATAATCCAAACCAAGATGGCGTCACTTATAAATAAATTGGTTTGTGTTATAAAACTTGTATTTCTAGAGGAAGAAGCAACACAACCATGACCTCCAAACACACAGTAGCATGAAGAGGCAAGAAAAAAGAGAAAGATACGGTCATACAAAAGCAGAGATTCATACAGAATTACAGGCTGGAGGAAGGGAACAGACCAAAGCTGAAGAAATGGAAGAGTGGGAGAAAGGAAAGGAGGAGGATGAGAGGAGCGGAGACTATGAATGGGAGACAGAGGAGGATGTCGATCAAGAGACGGAAGAGGAGGAGGACAACCTGGAGAGGCAGAGAGAAAAGGAAAGGTTGGAGATGGAGAGAGAGAGAGAGGAGCTGGAGAGAGAGAGGGAGGCTGAGCTGGAGCAGGAAAGAAAGAAAATTGAGATGAAGGAGCTGGAGAGAGAGAGGACAGAGCAGGAGGAGGGAGGAGAGTTGGAGGAGGACAGGGAGGAATGGGAGATGAGGAGGGTGGAGATGGAGAGGCAGAGAGCGGGGGGTTATGATGAGGAAACTGGACACCCATACCCATACCCTCCAGAGTATTTCTTTTTAAAGGTAAGGGCGTAAAGTACACCTTATGACCCTAACTCACTCTTCATCATTCAAAACATTCAACAATTGTTTTGGCTCATCAGTTCAAAAATACACTGAATAAATGTCCAGTATAATTATGCAGTGGTGTTAACATACATCTTTTTTCTGCATTAGGGACAACCAGGTGAGACTGGGAAACAAGGACATAAGGTGGTTACAGATATTTTAATAACTTTGAAATAAAACACAATACCATGCTATAAAAATTAGCATTATGAAGTAAACTGCTGTAGCTGATTTAGAGGAAAGGATTAAAATTTTGTCAACCCTGATTAAAACAATCACTTCACAAAAATGGCGTGAGACATATCACTTCATGCACCTAAGTGTATTTAGCCAGTGCAAGAGAATTTATTCTATTTGTTCACATTTATTACTTTGAGATTTCTGATGCAGCTCAGTTGAGGTAAATAGGATTTAGTTTGTGGTGCTCACCTCATTGAAAAGTTGCATTTAAACGAGTCTACAGCTGTATGTGGTTCAGTGAGACTGTACGATGAGCTACTTTGAGCTAAATGCTAACATCGGCTAATGTCTGCAAAACCAATGTAAACGTTGATGTTTAGTGGTCCGACTGCACACAGTAGCTTGCTAAAGCTGCAAATTAGTAAATGGTCTTATACTTGTATAGTGCTTTTCTACGCTTTACAGCACACTCAAAGCACTTTTCACATTACTTGGCCAGTCACCCATTCACACTCACAAACGCTCATACACCGGTGCTCAAGGACACTTCGATGTGTTGACTGGATGAGCCGAGAACCAAACCACTAATCCTCCTGTTAGGAAACAGCCCGCTCTACCTCCTGAGCCACAGCCGCCCCCCAGTTAGTGCCAAACACAAAGTACTACTAAGGCTGAGTTAGTAGTTTTGCTGGTATTTGATCAAAAACCAAAGTGATGACAAATTTTACTGTTAGATGACCCAAGAATAAAATTCAGATCACAAAGTTATGGATCCAGGTGTGAGAAAGTCTTCACCACATTTTATGGCAATCCAGTACCACTAATAGTTCTTTTTCATTCAGAACCACAAATGTGAACCTGCTGGAGGCACTAGAGCATAATCAGCCAAAGGTAGTAGGGTTCACTCTCTGGGATCTACATTAATATCTGTACAAACTGTCATGGCATCCAGTATATGTTGAGAAATTTCAGTCTGGACTAGGGTGTTGAACCAGTGGACCAACATGTCATCACACTAGAGCTACCCATTAATCTGAATATTCCACCAAACTGTGAACAGTTTGAAGTGGAACTACTTTATGTGGAAGAATATGTACCTATGAAAGCTTTCTGCATTTTATTTACTTTTTCAATTTTGAGCCACATAAACAAATCTTGCTGACCTCCAGTATACTGCAGTGGAGGCTGAAAGTTGTCTGCATGGTTAGATACCACTAGAGGTGATTGAGCAGTAACAACAGGTTTTACTTTGTAATTTGGGTAAACTGACCATTTTATGTGGTATATATCCTTCCATGGTGAAGATTCACTGAGCCACTGATATTGCCCCAGTGATTACACTGATTAGAAGCATCATTATCATCATCATAACTTCACACAGCTACAGTGACAGTCGGCAAAGGAAACGTGCCACCAGTTAATAAAAATATCATTGCTACTCTCCCCGCCTACCTGGACTGCCTCAGTAAATGACATCAGAGATCAGGGAGAACTTCTCTCCTGTCTCGCCTGTCACTACAGCCAGTTGAGTTCAGGCCTTTGATGCCCCCTCTGCGCTATTTCTGGCCGACTGTGAGACAGTAGATTAAAGCAGACATTAATAATTGTGTGGATGCTGTAAAGCATCCACACTATGCTCTTCTGTTCTTTATTTATTGTGTGGATGCTGTAAAGCATCCACACTATGCTCTTCTGTTCTTTATTTATTGTGTGGATGCTGTAAAGCTCTCCTGTTCTTTATTGTGTGGATGCGAAAGCATCCACACTATGTTATCCAGTTCTTTATTATTATTATTCTGATGCAGTGCAATTGGGACATGCCCATGCATAATGCCTCTCTCTGTCTCTCTCCCCCTCCTCCCCTTCTCCCTCTCTGTCCCTCCCTACCCCCCTCGCCCACACACGTTCACACCTACTTGTTGTACCTAGTTTGTGGGGTCCTATTGAACTATTTTCACATCTTTAATAAGTTCAGCATATTTTCAGCTAGCAAAGCCAAAATGTTCAGCTCTTCAAGGACATTCATGCTTCTATTCAGAATTTTTCTAAACTTTATACATTTATAATATTTAGCTTTATTTTGAAAATCTTGCCCCATTCAAATAAATGAGAAATTTCAACTTCAGCATACCTTTAGCTATTTCAGGTATCAAAATGTTCAGCTCTTCAAGGACATTCATGCTTCTATTCAGAATTTTTCTAAACTTCATATTTTTGAAATATTTATAAAAGTTTTGCACCATTCAAATGAATAGGACAATTCTACCTCTGAATAATTTCAGCTATTTCAGATATCAACATGTTAAATTAGACCCATATAATAAAGGGCTTTTAAATTGTTCCACCTGAATCACATGCTAGCAATAAGGAGTCTCTGAAAGAGCATTTAGACAACACAGAAGGGACACAGATGTTCCAAAAATATAACTTAAATAAAATTTGACAAAAATACAGATGTGGTTGCACTAAGCAAAACTGGACTCATAACTTTAGTTTATTTAAAATCCTAGCTACAAGGGCAACAGCACACCAGAAGATATCCTCCTCTACAAGATGACTGCAGAACTATTCTCAGCCCCAATTCAGGAAGATAAGCCTTTCAGGTGTCAAAATATTCCGCATTTTTAGGGGGGCGATCCTTCAGCAAATAGCACCCACATGCATTTTCGACAGGAAATGCATTTCTCTAGTTGAGCTTTTTTTTGTGCATAAAAAAGTGTCATGCACTCCAACTTTCTAACTGATGTATGCTTTTTGTGCACACTTTTCAGGGTGAAATTGGTGAGAAAGGACAAAAGGTAAATACAGTATTCATTAATACCTGTGATGATTCTGCTAGTTTGTTCCAGTGAAATCTGGAAAAAGAGAAAACATTGTGTGTTTGTTTTGTGTGTTCAGGGAGAGCCGGGCATCGGCCACAGAGGGCCAGAAGGCCAGGCTGGTCCTCCGGGACAGAAGGTGAAATTTCCCCCACTTGCTTGCTTTTAAAAAAAAAAACAGCAAGCAGCAACTCACTTGGTGATCTCTACTAAATTAATTAATCCCCACAGGCTTTTCCATCACATTTACCATGATTGACTTTATTTCTCATTATAGTTTCAAATTAGAAAATTTAACTGGATCAGTGACTCACTTACTCATTTAAAGTTGTGTCTGAGCTTTTAATTTGATAAAGGAAAGAGGCACTTTATTTGAAAGCAATCATTCAAAAGTAATAGAAGAAAAATGACCTTTTGCTGTGTTTTATTTGTCTTTCTCTTTTTCTCTGTTTCACCTCAGGGTGAACCAGGTGAGCCAGGGCCTCCAGGTGCTCAGGGCATTCAGGGTATCCCTGGTAATGCAGGCATCCAGGGCACCCCAGGACTTAGGGGTCCCCCAGGTGACCCAGGGGAACCTGGCAGAGAGGTACATTATCATATACAATATCATCGTACTAGCTGATGTTTAGCTCTTTTTATCTTTGTTACTGTGAAACAAGAGAATAGATGTTTGTGAACAGATTGTGATTGGAAATGAATGCAGAAACAGAGGAGAGCCTACTGGGTTTTAAAGAGATTTTCTGCATTGACACAGGGTGACCAGGGTAAAAGGGGCAAGAATGGATCACCTGGAGCTTCTGGGCCCCAGGGAGCACCAGGATCTCAAGTAAGAAAATCCATCCATCTATACTACTTATCCTGAACAGGGTCATGGGAAAGCTGGAGCCAATCCCAGGTCGTAAGAAAATACAAATGCTCTAAATGACCTTTGCAAGTACTGGATCTGATTTTACTGAAGCTGGCTGCTCAAACAGAAATCCACACTAAGTATAATGTAAATGTTTTCATTTGGATTAGATTGGATTTAAATTCTCTCAAAAAATTATTTGAGTCTGTTTTATCACTAATTAATGTCAGAGACATTTTGATTTTAAATAATATTTTTCATATCTGGTTGATTGTCATTTGGAAATAATGGTTAATACTATTTTCTTTTGTAATCATTGCATTTTACTAATAAAGGGTCCTCCTGGTGTGCCTGGAGTAAAAGGAGAAAAGGTAGAAATGCTGTATGCTGTACATAATATTTTAGTAGCACTTATTTTTATTGGGTTTGATCCATTAATCTAATAAAATATTGTAAGAACTGAGTTTTATGTTTGTAGCAGCAGCATACTGTTTAATTTTGATCTGTTGTAATAGAAAAAAATGTAATGGTTACTTTATTATTACTTTTTTGCATCTCTCTTGCTGTCATTAGGGTGACAGCATTCCAGGTGAGCCTGGTGCCAAGGGTTTGGCTGGCTTCCCAGGCAGAAGGGTGAGCTCAGCTTGTATTGTACATGTCAGATACCTTCCATTACTTGACCAGTGATGGCAAACAATGCTTCGACCAGGTTTGGTCTATGTTTAGATACTGTATGGCAGGAATTTCTTCATCTGTGCTTTTTTAATGGGACTTAGCACAGTGAACAGTGTGAACAGTTAGTGGCAGTTTAAATTTATGAAATATCTGTTGGGAAAATGACAGTGTCCCAGCTGTTTTTTCTCATGTTTTTATCTCAGACGACAGATACAGTATCTATGAAAAAACAACTGCATTTGAAACTTTGAAGTGCATCATACATCACACCATGGTTTGGTCCATCTGTTACCTAGTCTTTATCCAATCTTACCTGGTCTACCCCTTTGTGGTTTAAACATGTTTACTACAGAAGTGATGTTGGTGCAAAGCACACACACACAAATATATATATATATTTTCTTTTCAGGGAGACAAAGGTGCTCCAGGTGTTAAAGGAGCGCCTGGGCATATAGTAAGCAACCTTTCAAAACCATACACCTCAGTATAAAATCTCATTTACGACCAGTGGAGTTTCACTTATGCACAGTGGGAGGCAAAATTATGTCATTTTGTCTTTTTTGCCAGGGTCCAAAAGGCTTGCGTGGTAGCAAAGGTGAAAAGGTGAGATGTCATTTTAGATGCTTTGTCACAGTTAGCTTGGCATTTCAGCTACACCACTGACTGTAACTAAAGAGCTTCAATTTAAAACTTTTCACACATGCTTGCTAATTTGAAGTCCCTGTATTTCAGCAAGACTTTGCTCACTGCTAAAAATCACTTGAACTGGATGTCCAAGGAACTGCAGGCTCCAAAATGAAACCCTGTATATCTCTGTCCCATACTGTCCTGAGAGATTGCACAATTCTATTTCTTCCCCCACTCATGAATCCCAACCTCCTTCAAATATCTTCAGGATTTTATTGACGTCATCTGCTGGCTATGAAGCTCTAAGATGTGACCCACAAGATCCCTTTAGTGGATGACGTGCATGCATTTTTTACATGTGGTGCACAGTTACTTTTGTCTGCGTCAGCAGTGAGGTATGAGGTTCAAGTGATTTTCCATTCATCTTGAGGTTTCTTGACAGGAGTGGTGTCAGATGTCAGTCAGACTGCTTTCATATTTGTTTATTTCCTCTCTATTGAAAAGTCACAACTGTATGATTTATTAATGACACTCATTCATGTCAGATACCGCTGAAACTTTGCCATGCTGCGTACAACAACTTTTCATGACATTACATAAGAAGTGGAACACACTGTAATGTAAAGGCATTTAATAAAATGCGGTGAAAGCAGGTTTTCCTGATATAAAGAAATGTATATTTTTGCCGATGCCTGGAATTGAATAAATCATGTTCAAAACATATTTTAAAATCATATTTCTTTACAGGGTGACCGTGGGTTACCTGGAGTCAGAGGAGAAAGGGTATGATGATTGTCATGTTGCTCTGTAGATGAATCAGAAAGTATTTAGCCTGTACTGACAAAACATTGTACAGTATCATACAAGACCACACTTTTTTGGACACACATTCCTTTTTAATTCAGTTGGAAAGTGTTGGAAAGTGTGTGCAACCTTTGACTGGTAATGTATATATTTGTGTGTGTGTGTGTGTGTGTGTGTGTGTGCGTGTGTGTGTGTGTGTGTGCGTGTGCGTGCGAGAGAGAGAGAGAATCCACATACATCATTTTATTACTATCTAATACTGAATTGCTTTGTCCAGGGGAGTGTGCTTCAAATCCAGGGCCCTCGTGGATTTAAGGGGTCCAAAGGAGAGGCGGTGAGACCTTCTGGAAGTTGTAGTCATTTAACGTATTGTTTCAAAACTTTCCATTCACTTTAGCAAGGTGACAATATTTGTCCTCTGGTTACAATACAGTACAACAATCTGGATACAAATCAATAAAACTTTATTTATCTCTATAAGGACAACTGTGCTCAGCAGTGTGCCAGCCAGGCTGATAAATACAAACATAAAAAATGAGAGTTCTGAACAAATACTTAAAAAAAACTATAAATATCAAACTATATGTGAAAAATACACATTGTAAAAACAATAAAAGGCCAGTTAAGGATAAAGTAGACACTTTGTTTCAGGGTGAGCGAGGCCCACCAGGTTTTGATGGTGATAAAGGAGAAAAGGGCGAGGATGGTCCTCCTGGAGTCAAGGTAAGAAATTCTTGAAAAATGCTGAGAATAAAAGAAAAAAACTGTTATTAGTAAATAAAACTATTTTTTAAAGGGCCTAAAGGGAAGTGCCGGCATTAAGGGTGCACTGGGACGATTTGGAGCACGGGGACCGGTGGGTCAGAAGGTAAGTGTTTCAGTACTTGCACTGAAACACTGCAACACCTTCGGTTTAACCACTCAGTATTTTATTTGGTTGTGCCATGTGTAAAATTGTCCATTTTTCCTAAAGGGAGATCCAGGAGAGTCAGGACTCAACGGAGTCATGGTAGAGCTACAAACAAACATTCAGTTATTTTAGAGTAAATATACATTTTGAGGCCAAAATTCAGTATTAACTTCAAGAATTACATACAGTAATACAGTAAACGTGATAAGTATGATGTGATTTAAGGGTCGCAATGGGGATCATGGAGTGAACGGGGCCAAAGGGGACAAGGGAGACATGGGACTGCAAGGCCAAAAGGGCAATCAGGTATGCTAAAAAGCAATACATAACCAATCATTTATATATTTATTTAGCTTATTTTGTATTGCTGTATCACAGGGGGATCGAGGAGAACCAGGTTTACCAGGAGACAAAGGGGAGAAGGGAGAGAAGGTAAAGAGGCTTGATTTGAACAGTTATTATTTGTCACAGTTATCTCACATAGTTGTTTCAGGTTTACAAATAAAATGTGTATTTTGCAATACAATACTTCCTTACATGCTTTTCCAGGGTTTTAGAGGTTTACACGGTCGCATTGGAAGCTCAGGCCTGGATGGAGAAAAGGTCAGGACCTAATTAGATTCTGATTAGACCAAAGAAGAGTTATGTAACATGCCATCTGAAAAAATCATGTCAGTAATGTAGCTAACTCTGTGTGTGAGACAGATTAACATGGTGTCTTTGCAAAACAGGGAGATGTGGGGTTACCTGGCATCCCTGGTGTACCTGGACTGAATGGACTTACAGGACGCAAGGTAAACAAATATCTGAGGGTGTACATACTCCTCTTTCTCTATTCCTCAGCTATATACATTACACATTCGAAATTTTTCTTTCATTTGTATTTTTCATAATGTGAAATCTTAGGGTAGCAAGGGAGAAGGAGGGATCAATGGTGTTGATGGTGAGCAAGGAGTGAAAGGGGAAAAGGTGAGTTTTATTGCAGACTTTTTCAGTTATGTATAAGAACAGCATAATGCATTTGCATCCTCACTTGTACACAAAGGAACCATAATGTGTCAATTTACCGTCTGCTATTATTCTTGCTGAATTCAGGGTGCAACAGGTTTTCCAGGCTTCCCAGGCTTTAAGGGGTCGGCAGGAAGTCCGGGAAGGGACGGAGATGAGGGACCACCAGGACCACCAGGTCCCCATGGCAATGCAGGGGCCAAGGTGCAATATTTCTACTCCTAGAGTGTGTGGGGGGAGAGCAGCGATACTGCATTATTGTGATGATAAATGAAACCTGGGCTCCTTATCAACATTACACCTCAATGATGTCATTACAGTCTTATGCAAAAGTTTAGGCACCCCTTGATAAATAACAGATTTTGGTGATTTTTTATTTGAACAGATGTTAACACAGTTTCTCTTGGAAATGGAAAAAATGCACAATATTTTCTGCAAACAGTGATGCATAGTTACTTCTTATGCCATAAATTGAACAAAAATAAAAAATAAAAACATGATTATGGCATGGTGCAAAAGTTTGGGCACCCTAAGAGTTCCAGAGTCTCAAAGTCTCTCACAAGGTATCAGACCTTAATCAGCTCGTTAGATCTGATGCACAGCAACAGCTGTCATTGGTAAATGCCAATTTCAAAGCTGTACAAATACTTTGACTCTTCAAACCTTGTGCACACACTTGTGGACACCCAGCAACCATGGGTTCCTCTAAGCAGCTGTGTAAGACCCTGAAAATGAAAGTTATTGATGCCCACAATGCAGGAGAAGGCTACAAGAAGATAGCAAAGCGTTGTCAGCTTGCAGTTTCCACAGTAAGAAATGTAATTAAGAGATGGCAGATCAGGGGAACTGTGGAGGTCAAGATGAGATCTGGAAGACCAAGAAAACTCTCGGACAGAACTGCTCGTATGCTGGTCAGAAAGACAAATCAAAACCCCCATTTGACTGCAAAAAACCTGCAGGAAGATTTAGCAGACTCAGGAGTGGTGGTGCACCGTTCCACTGTGCAGCGATGCTTGCACAGACAAGGCCTTCATGGAAGAGTCAGCAGAAGAAAACCTTATCTGCGTCCCCATCATAAAATCCAACGTCTGAAGTATGCAACAGGACATCTACAGAAGCCCGATGCGTTTTGGAAACAAGTGCTGTGGACTGATGAAGTTAAAATAGAACTCTTTGGACACAATCAGCAAAGGCATGTTTGGAGAAAAAAAGGAGCAGCATTTCATGAAAAGAACACCTTGCCAACTATTAAGCATGGGGGTGGATCTATCATGCTCTGGGGTTGTGTTGCAGCCAGTGGCACAGGAAACATTGCACGGGTGGAGGGAAGAATGGATTCCACTAAATACCAGCAAATTCTGGAAGCAAACATCACACCATCTGTAAAAAAGCTGAAGCTGAAAAGAGGATGGCTTCTACAACAGGACAATGATCCTAAACATACCTCGAAATCCACTATGGAATACCTCAAGAGACGCAGGCTGAAGGTTTTGGAATGGCCATCACAGTCCCCTGATTTAAACATCATTGAAAATTTGTGGGTAGATCTTAAAAGAGCTGTGCATGCAAGACGACCAAAGAATATTACAGAACTAGAAGCCTTTTGCAAGGAAGAATGGGAGAAGATCCCAAGTACAAGAATTGAAAGACTTTTAGCTGGCTATGAAAAGCGGATGTCAAGCTGTTATCTTGATCATGGCTTCTCTACATGATCACCTTAAGATAACAAATTAAACTATTATATCATTAAATTTTATGAGACAATATTTGGTCCATCGGGTGAAAAAAAGACAAGTAAATAGTTTTCTTGGGATCACAGAAGTAGAATTAGAAAATAAATGCACACATTATGAAGTTATATTACAGTATGTTTTTACCACACAGTAATAGGCCCCAAAAGGTTATTAGCAGCCGCAGACTTTTTCACTCACTGATGCACACTGGTGGTGTAGCTGAGGGTATGAACCAGTGATTTAATGAACATCAAGAACAACCCTATTTGCCACAGTCGTTAACTGCAATCACAACAGAGCCACTTCTTTAAGAAATAATGATCTTTAGCAGCACTAAGAAGAAACTACAATAGACATATAATTATATACAGCAAAGTATTTCTCCTGAGGGTAGATATGTTGATAAATCATGTGTGGCATCAGACCTATTAAAACAATGTGATTTTAGGATTCAGCTGGTAGCATCAAATTTCCACTTGAGCCTGTGAAGACTAACATTAGTCTGAATTTATAAGACTCTCGATCTCGCTCACTTTCTCTCTCACAAATCCATTTTTGTATTCAGAAAGCCCAGCTTAAAAGAACAGAAGGATGAGCTGAGCTTGATTACAGTCATCACCGTGTCTGTGTCTTGCTCAGACAGAGTGGCAGCATGTGCTCTGTGCACAGCAGCAACGGATACAGCAGAGACGTGTCCTTAATTAACACACATACATGTTTGTTTTTATTCCTTGTGGGGACTCTACATTGCCTTACCTGAACCTAACCCTGACCTCACCCTAACTGTCACCCTAAAAGTCAATGATTTACACGGTGGGGGCCAGATGCTAGTCCCCACCGTGTAAAGTGATACCAGGCGCACACACACACACACACACACACAGACACACAGGGTCTATTTTTGTCTGCAGCTTTCAAGTAATATCTTACTCAATTAGTTTCTTTCAGCTACAATTACCAGACTCACAGAGAGGGACTGGAAACATCTAATGAGGATATTCCAAGGATGTATCTAATTGGTCTGTCTTTCATGCCGTTTACAAATGAATGAGATGTGCTGCTGTGATTTCCATTTATTTATTTATTTTGTTCAGTGGGCAGACTGTGTTTTCTCTCTGTGCACTTTGACTATTTTCAAACAGGGGGAGAGGGGCAGAAGAGGCAGATTGAAGCCATGTCAGAGGGGAGCACCTGGGACACCAGGACAAAGAGGAGAAAGTGTGAGATTCATGTTTGAACACACACCATTCACCGCCCTAAACACACTTCCCCAAGAACACTAGCCTCACTTCCAGTGTCTTCAATAACTGTTCTCATAGATTATCTTCCTAAAGGAAGGACAAGGTCTCCACCTTGAGCTGATCTATACTGGGTATTGCATGAGGCAGTGTTGTAGCACAACACTACCTCACGTCCGAGTCCAGTGTCAAGTCCCCAGTGTTCAAGTCAGTCAAGTCCAGCTCACCAAAGAATGGTCCAAACTGAGACCAAGTTGAGTCCCCGATACCCGAGTCTGAGCCATCAAGGTCTACATTCAGCGCAAGTGGCACAGCTCTCACCATTTTTTACTTACTGTGTGTGACAAAGTAGCCAAACAAATGTGCTCATAAGCATGCAAACACACACTACTTAGAAGTGAACTGCGTGAATTGTTTTTGATAGGCAGAGTGCACATTTTGATGGAAGTGTGCAGGATATAGCATGGTGCAGGCAAAAGGTTTTAATTTCAATCAATATCTTATGCCAAAATATTATGACCTATTACAATTTAAAAAAGTCAGAGTCTTTGTCTCCGCATTCTGAGTCTGAATGGAGTCAAGGCTTGTGTCCAAGTTTCACTGACCAGTGCTCAAGTCCATGTCGAGTCTCTGAGTCGTAGACCCAGGTATTACAATACTGGCATGAGGTCACCACATATAGGACTGATATATGGAGGTGGCATTTCTCCTGCCTTGTCAAGTGTAATGAAGAGAACAGGAGACAAGGCTGTTCTGACAAGAGGTGTGGGTGTACCGCAGGTACACAAGACATATAAATGTGTTTTTTTCATATAGGGTTCAGTGGGGATTGAAGGAGCAAAGGGGGAGAAGGGAGAGCCAGGACTCTCAGTACGTATTTAAAAATATACACAGAGTTATCAAAATGAATAAGTAAATGAAATGTTTTTGAATCGTGTATTTCTCTCTGTTGAGGCTGACGAAGTGAAGGAGCTAGTCACTCAGGAGGTGGCAGTAAAGTGTGGTAAGTGTGTGCGTCTGTGGATGTGTGCATTGTCCTGTTATTCAGTTGTACATTTAGAACCCTCAACAGTATATGTGCTTGTACAGTTCTGTACACGTGTCCAAGAGTGCATAAATGTTCCGGTAGAAGAGCCATCACATTGTGTTAGTGTGTTTTGTTGTAGAGCTCCTGTGGTAGCAACATGGCACCCGTGTGTGTTGTGCCATCTGTTATGTTCTCTCAGAGGAACACACACCATGGTGCCAGCAACAGTAGAGCCATTCACAAACACAAGACTGCCATTAACTGGAGCACCTCACCAAGAATCCACTACACTGTTACAGGATGTGGAGTGGATACTTCTGGATAATTGTGCACCTTGGTAAAAATTCTGCTGTAGTTCTTTCTCTCTCTCTCTCTCTCTTCACAGAAGATGATATCACAGTAGGAAAAACTTGGGTATAAATAATAAAATGGATGGCGGCTGTCATTTGCTTTGATTCCCTGCTATGGTTACCAGCTGGAGTGACACACTTTTGCTTCTCAAATACTTGTAATTACTGAGAGGAGGTTGACATGATAATATATTCAAATTTGCAGTAGGAAAAAATGGTTTCAGCAAATAATATCAGAATATTAACAGTCTTGTTGCTGACTACTGTGTCTAGTACTGCAATATATTTTTTGGCTGACAATGAGAAACTCTGACCTGAGTTTGTCCCATTGTATAATGTGGATGTTATTGTGGTAAGAATGTGTTTTAATCACTTTTGGGTTGGCTCTTAGCAAAGTGGAAGTAGAAAGAGCTTTACAGTGAAGTACAATATAAAATCTTAAATAAAGTGGTAAAGCTGGAGTACATTAATAGAATACTATTAATTATTTACTTACAGAAATACTTGAAATACATGGTTTCAAACACAAATGGCTGCTTATTCCTTGACAGTAAATACTGAGTGGTATGTTGTTGCAATCAAAGTGTTGTGCAAAATGGAAAATACTATTAAATAGTTTTTTTTGTGTAGTGTTCATGCATATCGGAGAATGTGTGTGTATCATATCGGTATCTTTATAGGTCTGGAATACAAATTCATGGTAAAGTCTGTGGATCCAGATGGAACAATTGCAGTGACTGACAATAAAAATGAGCCAGAAGACATAGTATTATCCGTCTCTCGTGACCTCCATGAAGACAGGACACAGGTGAAAGAATATGGAATCAAGGTGGAAGGAATGGCCAGTTCATCAAACTGCACTGGTAAAAATAATGATCATGCAGGTTAATGTTAGCAGGGTCTAAGCCCCAGGCCAAACACACAGATGCCTGAGAGGTCATAATTTTCAAAATTGCTCAGTGGTTCCCACAGCAAATTTACAGAGTGCGACCAAATGTGCGCCATGGCTGAAACGTTAGCAGCTGTGATGCAGACAGATTTTTCTAATATGTTAGTTGACATTGTGGGGTCTTAAAGAAAGGAACCATCAGGATATTATTCTAACCAATATCATCACCTCCATCTCATCTTTTATATAATATTGGAACTCCCCAGAATGTCTTATCATCCTTCTGTCATCTCCACTAAAAGAAAGCAAAGGCTGTATTTGTCATCAGTGGGTTTGTTTGTTTGTTTGTTTAATGCATGGTAACATGATAAAGAATCATGTTGCTAATACCTACTGTGTTTAAAAAATGTACAAAGTGTTGTTTTAAAGTTTTGCAAAATTGGCACCGCTAAGCACACTATAACTGGCTCAGGGTCGCAATTATCATGAACTGTGAAATTCCCTCTTACTGAGCTTGTAGTGTTCAGTAGATTTACAGAATAACTCAAATGTACAGTATATGAGGGAATGCTCTAAGTGTATGTTACTTACACCCTTATTTACATTTAAGATAAGTCAGAGTGCCACAGTTGGTTTCTTGGTCCCTGATGGTTGAATCCACCTACATGTAAAACTTCTCCTTGATTTTGTTTCTGACTGCAGAATCTCCTGAGAGAGTTGCCATGAAGTGGAGGCAAAGGAAACAAAGAAGAACTGCTGGTGAGTGGCCAAGACAACTCACTTTCTTCTCATACTTTTGCCTTCTCTCTTCTTTACTTGATCTATAAATCCAAACTCTTTTTATTTGTCTGTTTTTCTACATATTTTTATATCATCTATGAGTAATGAGCTCAACTTTTTAAGAGCACAAGGTGGGAGAGAATGATAAGACCAAAACTTAATCCATGAATGTTTGACAGCTTGTGCTAGATTTCTTGAGACACTTATAAATATAAAATGTGCAGTGAGAAAGATCTGAAGTATAATGAACAGTGTGTTTGTGTCAAGCAGGGTAGCAATACACCCAGCAATTCCATTTATAACTACTCATTCATATCATTTTCAAACATACCAGTGGAGTATTGTGGAGTCCTTACAGACCCACTTAACTATAGCTGTACCAAGTTATTTGCACACAGTAGCCTCAATTGGAATCTATAGATATTTTTTAAGAATGAGAAAATGGGATGAATTTATAGCATCTTAATCTGGAGAACAGTTTTAACCTGCCTCGCCTCTTTTGTTATCTGATATGCGGTTTCAGGGGCTGACCGCTGCATGGAGCCCATGTCAGAAGGGGTCTGTTCAGAATACGTTCTGCTCTGGTATTTCCACCCTGTCTCAGGGGAGTGCAGACCCTTTGTGTACGGGGGCTGTGGTGGCAACCAAAACCGGTTCTCCTCAAGACACGAGTGCCAGAGTTGGTGTGGGATTGAGAGGACAGGTAGGGGAACAACGAGTTCATATATGAAATATACTTTGTAACAGCTAATCTAATAAATAAGAATATTTTTTTTTAGAGCGGTTTTACTTACGGTGTCAATTTAGAGATAGCATGCATGCAAAAGTTGTCATTAAAAGACAATCACATGTTCACCTTTATGATAGTACTAAAAAAAACTTTACACTTTTACAGGCACCGGACCCTGGATATGAAGCGAGCAACCCACAATATGATGCTCATTTTTGTACATAACTGTGTGTGATGTTATACAAATAAAATTGAAGTCAATTCAATTTTATATTAGGTTTGTTAAATATAAATTGTACACGCTGTTTCTTGATTTATTGTATGGAAAAAATATTTGAAATCAAAATGTGAATGTCAAAACATTAATTTGTAACATATTTTTGAAACAGACTGGCAATAGACTGAGTTGTTTGTTTTTTATTTCAAAAAATGCTTAAAATTAACACTACTGGAAAATTAAGTCCATGTTCACTTTATGTAACACTTGTCTTATGTTTTGTCAATTGCCCTGCATCCTGTGTGGTGTGAAAATAAGAAACTGCTAGTTGACTGCCTGCTGTCTTCTCCACCACCACATATGTTCCTTTGGTAGGGAATGTTATGGGTCAGGCTGGGAGCCAGATGAGATGCCAACAGGGGCCCAGTGAGGGAGATCACGCAGGGACTAATTTAGAGG